CTAGTGTCCTAGAAAACTAATGTTCAAAATAATTTTGGGGGCCCTTACACCTACACCAAGGTTGGCGTAACTGCCCTCGAAAATCAAAAATAAATAATAATATGAAAGTATAAACCAGGGCTTAAAACCGTTTACCGGTTTTTCACGAAAACCGTTAAAAACCGTAAATTTTTATAACCCTAAAACGTTTACCGGTTTTATTTGCAGTATAGAAAGCGGATATCGGTAACCGATTAACAAAAGTTTATAAAGTCATATACTAAAAATCAATTATCAACATTTCTGAAAATCGTTCATTTAACGTTCCCCGGTTACCATTATAATGCGGAAAAGATTTTTTTTGTTCTAATTACCAATCCTTTATTGTTATTTCAGTTTGTATTTTATTTGTAGAAAAATATTTACCTGTTATATTGAACTTATAATAAGTGTATGATAAAATTATATATTATACACAATCACAATGTCAAAATATACGTATACCGGGGGTATTGTCCGAGTTGCGGTTGCAATAGTCGAATTGCGGCCTTAATAATATTGAAGGTAAAATTAACGTCTTAATTGCGGTCAGTATCCGGTTAACGATTAATGGTTACAATACGTTTTTGGATTGACTTTTCTCCCTCCAGATGAAGTGGGAAATGTGTTTTTAGATTTAATCACCGAACAACCTATAGATTCAAGAGTTACTGAATTTAGTGACTATTTAGTATTTAGTCGATAATTATATTGGGAATGATGCTACTTTTTCAACCACATTCTGGGCAGCTTTGAACAATGATGTTTGGAGAACGAATAGTGGAAGTGAAGCGTTCAATTAGCGAATATAAAGTCGAACATGGGTAAAAAAATATTAGATGGGTCATTTGGTTTTCCAGAAGCAAAATAACTGCCTGGGTCATCAACAATTTTACGTCATGTTATTGTGGGGGATGAAGCTTTTAGGCTCCACGCTCATATAATGAAACCATATACGAGACAAGCCTCCAGAGACAATAAGACAAAGTCTATATTTAATTATAGGTTAAGTCATGCCAGGCGAGTGACGGAAAATGCGTTTGGTTTATTAAGCCAGGTTTTTCGCGTCTTTTACCAGCCTATAAATATTGAACCATCGACATGTGACGACCTAATCACAGTAGCTTGCTGTTTGCATAATATGTTAAGAGATGCATATTTAGAAGAAAATGGACGAGCATTTAAAGAATTTGACTCAAGAGAAACAGTACCTAACAATATAATACCTGCAATTACAAGAGGAGGTGGTTTTGCAAACACTGAAGGATTTGAGTATTTGACGTTAGAGAAGCATATAAGGACTTTTTTAATAATGAAGAAGCTGTTTCGTGGCAGAATAACATATAAGTTATTTATATTACTATTTAACTTCACTTGTTGTAACTTTAATATTTAAAATTTAAATATCAAATAAGAAAACAAATAAAAACTTTATACGTATTAAAATTAAAAACAATACTTATAAACATTATGTAACATTGTGTATTCTTGTATTTCACTTAAAATATTAAAAACAATCTATAAAATAATAATTATAAATGTCTTTGAATAATTATTATAATATACATACATATATTTAGATATAGGTAGTTATAGTTGTTGGTTATTGATTTATTGATTGTACATATATGGCTCAAATCCTTGAAGAGTAGCCGACAAAGAACTGAGGCATGGAGATGGTGTGCTTGAAAGTGATATAATATTGTTGAAATCTGTTGTAGATTTAGAGGGTGTTTGAAACATCATTTGCGTGGGTGTTTGAATCGTTGGTTGAGTGTATTGCACTCCAGCGTCACCTAAGTATTTATCTTCGAGCTGTGCAACTAAAGATAATATACTAAGTTTAGCTTCAGTTTTGCCTCTGGGAGGTAGCTTGTTTACTGAAATCGCAATGCCCCTAAAAAATAAATCTATCTCATCAGTAGATGATCCCCTACCCAAAATTGCTTCGTTTTGCGCTTGTAAGCTATTTATTATTGCTATTAAAAAATTGTAATTTTTTTAATGACTAAACTCCGTGTAAAATATTTATTTCCTAAAAATGTATACTTTTAAAAATAATTGAGTATTAAACGATAAAATAATCAACTAAATAAAAGATTTTGTTGGTAGCAATTCAAATAATTTCTAATTATGAAAAACAAATTAGTGTAGGTTATGAAA